CGCAGTTATTCCGTTTAGCTCAAACAGTTTTTCGAGTAGTTCAGGGACGCGAATCAAAGAGTAAAATCAGTTGATACTTTGTCGCGACCATCTCGTGGTGCATCTCAAGTAGAGGGTCCATTACCTTGACGACACCATCCCGCAGTAGGGTGCCCACTCGTTTACAAAAGGGTCCGACGCCTATACAACACCTTCCCTCAACGGGGCGCCTGCTCAGAACCACCGAACATATTCAACGCGATCCGAAACTACTCTGCAACGAGTAAGTCAGTTCATTTCTTTTTATTTTATTATTTCTTCTGTCCTCCCTCCGGAAAAATAAAACACTCACACACACACACACACACTTGTAAAGAATACATAAATAAAATTATTAACATATGCGATTAAGAATTAAGTTTTTGTATCCTAATTATAAATTCAATCAAATTAAAATGTTGTCTTTAGTAAATTAAACTTTTGTTCTTTTTCATTTAACCACACCCTCCTCGTTCGTCACCCCCTCACACCTTCCCTCTCAAATTGCGCACAAAGGTTCCGCCCCGGGTAATAGGGATTCAATTCCTTGACCCAAAAAGGGAACCACGAGCGATTGACTTGTTGACGGAGTAAAAACGACTCTTCCAGTCGCTGACCCGTCGCAAGTCCTAAACGTGCCGCTCGGCTCGTGCGGTCAGGTCCGTTTACGTCGATCGCCGAGCCCAACGAAAAAATTCTACATCTATCAGGACGTAACAATGTTAATTGTGTCTTGTAACCAGTATAAAATGTCGAAAATGACCTATCTTTGTGTATGTGTGTATGTGTGTTTGCGCGAGTGCGTGCAATTTAATAAATAAATAGGTGATACATCGACGATACTTGTGGCAAATTAACACAGCTTTACCTATAAATATTTGCGGCAAGGTATATACAGGGTGTCCCATTTAACTTGAGACAACTAAATATTTTGAAAAATAAGCATTGTATGAAAAATGTCCCAAATAAACTTTTAATATTATCACGTCTGCCTGTGTAAAAATTAACCCGCCCCACCGCCTCTTGGGGGTGGGCGGGTGGCAACTTTGAAATTTCAAATGGGAACCCCCATTTTTTATTGCAGATTCGGATTCCTTGGAAAAAAAATACGTAAGTTTGTCCGAGACATTTTTTCGAATCGTGATAGATGGCGCTGTAATCAGTGAAAATTAGTTTTGCCATTTTCTCTCACCATCGGAGTGCTTTAATTCGGTGAGTTCCCTCGCCTCTCACTATTCAATTACAATAAATGCTCGAAATGATGACCTTCCATTTCGATGCATTTATTAACTCGAGCTTAGAATGCTTGTACACATGTAGAAAGTGTATCTGGCGTTATTTGTGCGCAAGCATATCTAATACGTTCCACCATGTTTTCTCGAGTATTTGGTACTTCTGTATACACTTTTTCTTTAAGGTAACATAAAATTATTTCAACTTTCAAAATTATTTCAAAATTATTTCAAAAGATAAAATCGAAATGGAATCTGTTGGCACATGGCTATACATGTTCTTCGCATTTGTTTGATGAAATGTACTGAAAAAAAGTATAGGTACTGTCTGTATAATAATTCACTTGTAATTTACTTATATCCTTTACCCTTTATTTCTCATATTTCCCATTTACATATTCTTTTAACCTAAATTGTTACATTTGTTAAATTTAATAATCCCTTTTTTTTATTTTAACTTTCAGAGGATCTACAGTACACATTGTAATGTCTGTATTAAGTTTTATTTCATCTATTTTGATATTTTTATCTACTTTGAATTCAAACGTTCGTATCAATGTTGCTAGAATGACTTTCATAGAAATCATCGCATATTTTTGACCTGCAATTTTGTTAATTATATACAAAACAATTTTATCATGATATTTTGTTATTTATTCGTGCTTAGTAAGCTGCTTACCAATACAATTTCTGAGTCCGTTACTAAACGGCATGAAATATTTCGAATAATGCTCTTTTTTTTCTGGAAGAAATCTATCTGGATCGAACATCAAGGGATTCGACCAATGTTTCTTATTTCGGTGCATATGTAATATAGACATAATTATTTCAGCTCCTTTAGGTAAAATAGTTTCTCCTAAAACATACATACGTTTATATTAAATATTATTCTAATAAAATGTAATAATAAAAATGGTTTAAATAAGTACATGTTTTATAATAAAAAAATTACTTTTGCATGTATCTCTGTCTTTTAATTGTAGCACGAAAAAACACATTTTTAAATAAATTATTATAATACACAATTATAGTTAATCATACCTATTTTTAAATCTTCTGTTAGAATTCGTCCAATCAAAGGAGCAGCAGGGAAGAGTCTCATTGTTTCCTTAATAACTCGATTCAAATAATCCATTTTTTGCAAATCATCATATTTAATTGGTACAGATTTTGGAGATTTATTGCCGTAAATTTCTGATAATTCTTTGTATGCTTTTTCCTAGTATAAAATAAATTGTAGCGATGTGTATTTTTTAATACATTGCTCTATATTTGTGATTAAAATTTTGTGCATTGCTTATGGAATTAATATTGCTAACTATAACTAAAGCGTAAGTAATAATAAATGTTTGCATAATTTTATTTAAATTTTTAACATAAATAATATATTACATATAGTCACTAATATATTACATATAGTCACTAACTTGAAATTACATTATTTGTAAGTTTTATAATGTATTAAGTAAGTTAATAACTTGTATTGTACTTTAATAAATTTAATGTTTACGTACCTGTACTTCTGGAAAATTTGCGAGCATAAAAGTCACAAAATTTATTGTAACGGCAGTTGTGTCAATGACCTATGTAAATAAAAACTTGTTTTATTATATGTCTACATATAGTTTGAATGTGGAAATATAAACACGTACTGCGGATAACATTGTAATAATATGATCCTGATTTTCTTGTAGAGTTATTCTTCCTTTATGCAACGCTTCTAATAGAATGTCGAAAACTGTATTATTTGAATAAAAATATATAAAATAATTGATTACTTTTTTACAAAAATAAGTTTCCTACACATATAATTTTGAAATTTTTGCAAAAGCAATGAAAAAAATAAAAATCTTCAAAAATAACGTTTTATCAATAAAAAAGAGACACATATTTCATTATCTTTTCAGCAATATTATTAAAAAATAAATTTTTTTACCATTATTTTAAAATATTATATGTTGAACAAATGTAAACATTTAAGTAAAAAAGTTGACAAACTTACGAAACGTCTTACTGTTGGATTTGGCTACCACAGATTTTTCGAATACATGTTTCCTTTGCAGTAACTGAGTAATTAGAAATCATATATAACATAAATAAAGGATTCAAGTCAGAATATTAATAAATAATATTTCAATATAGCTATACCTCATTTATAAGCAAAATGCCACAATTTAATTGTTTTTGCTGTCTCCATTTTGTAGTAGAAAGATTGAATATAACATTTGGATGCAAAAATATGTTACTTAATCTATATCTCCAAATTTCCTTTATGCTGAAACATGTTTCTTCGTAAATCATGACTAAAAGTTAATTTAAACGTAATCATAAAATTTGAGAGAGGTTCAACTGCCTACATTCCCATTTGCCAACAGCTTCGTTTGCCCACAACATTTTGCCGACAGCTTCAATTGCCGACATTCCCGATTGCCTACAGAGCGATAGCCTACAAGCATTATTGCGCACATTTAAAAATTAAAAATACAAACGTACGTTTACACACAAGACATTATTGCACACATACACATTGCACACATGATATTATTGCGCACATACACATTGCACACATGACATTATTGCACATATATACATTGCGCACATGACATTATTGCGCTTTGTGTAGAAACTCGTAAACCCACGTTGAACCTCGCTTTGTTTGAAATTTCACGCGTAGGCGGCGAAGAACTTCGCCCCTACGGGGCGAAGCCTCTCCCCCGCGTAAAACAAATAACAAATCCTACTCAGGTTATAACAAGGTAAACCTAACAAGGTTAACCAAGGTTCACAAACAAAGTTGTAAACTCATGTTGAACCTCGTTTTGCATTGAAAGAATATGCGCAATAATATTATGTGTGCAATGTGTATGTGAGCAATAATGTCATGTGTGCAATGTGTATGTGTGCAATAATGTCTTGTGTGCAAACGTACGTTTGTATTTTTAATTTTTAAATGTGCGCAATAATATTATGTGTGCAATGTGTATGTGCGCAATAATATTATGTGTGCAATGTGTATGTGCGCAATAATGTCATGTGTGCAATGTGTATATGCGCAATAATATCATGTGTGCAATGTGTATGTGTGCAATAATGTCTTGTGTGCAAACGTACGTTTGTATTTTTAATTTTTAAATGTGCGCAATAATGCTTGTAGGCTATCGCTCTGTAGGCAATCGGGAATGTCGGCAATTGAAGCTGTTGGCAAATGGGAACGTAGGCAGTTGAGACCCTCCCTAAAATTTTATAAATTATATTATAAATTTAGTTTTTTTTATCACTATAATTAAAATATTTAAAATACTTTAA